AGGTTCCTGAGGCGTCCACGACGCGAGGCCCCAAGAGCCTCCAAACATGTCCGCGTTCCAAAGAAACAGAGGCAGTCTCGGCCCTGAAACGTCAGCCCCGAATGCTCGAGAATGCCAGCAGGGCCTACTATGACTTATATTCAAAAAGTAACCAAAAGCGATCGCGGCCAAAGGCACCGCCTGGATCCGCCTGTTCCAACGAGTCTTCCGAGACCACGGCGGAGATAGAGGAGGACACCACCAATCAGATGGGCTGTTGAGTTGAGGTTCGTTTCGATTTGAGGTTTCTCGGCTTGGTTTCGGGCATTCACTTTGAGTTTAGCAGATCGTGTTTGGTGAAGTTCAGTAGCAGTAGCAGTAGAAGTAGCAGTAGTAGTAGTAGTAGTAGTCGTCGTCGTAGTAGTAGTAGTAGTCACTGGGCCCACTCGGCGCCCCCACAGATTCATCGATTCATCTATTTGGAGGCGGGGGTGGGGGGGGGGGGGGTGGGCTTAATAACGTGCTTGCTGCAGCATCACTGCGAAGGAAGCTCCAAGAAAAAATCACGCACATCTCACACTCTGGACTTGTTTCACACGTCGCACTGTGCCCTTACAAGTGGCTGCAGACTGCCCACGGGCCAAGCTAGCTGAGAACGACCCTCCGAAGGAAAGACCCTGAACCTCGCTCTGAACGAAAGGGGCCCGGACCGCACCCTGCAGACCCCAGCAAACCCAACCCACAAACCCAATGCCCTCAGAGATTCAGAGAGAGAGATTCTCGTGCTGTCACAGTGCTGTCACTGACAACTTTGCCAAGGACGAAAGCAAACATGTCTCAACTTCCGAAAACCACCAGTCTGTTGCAGCATAGCATAGGTTCACAGAGAGAGAGAGAGAGAGTATGCAAGTTGGTACGTGGAGTAGCACTGTGTTGACGAACCCCCGAAAGCCCCGTACGTGCTGGGGGGCCCCAAAAGGCAGGGGGGCGTGATGAGCCACTTGCACCTGAAGGAAGAAGAAGAAGAGCATGCAAGTGCAAACATGTCACTACAACTCTCGTTCCTCATGTATTGGTGTGGGTGTGTGTGTATGTGTATGCATGTCAAGTGAAGCTAGTTCTTTAAAGGAGTTAGTCGCTCGACTTCTAATTGCGTGTTCTCAAAACTTGACTCAAAACAACATGTGCAACATGAGCAACCACAAAAATGCCTGCGCCATGTACCCGAAAATCGCGCATGCCAAGAATTGACATGACTGTACACAATTAGCTGGTATTCACACTAGTTTCGGCTTCTTGGCTCACCCACGAAGTCTTTCAACTACACAGAAACTACTTAGTTTGTCCCCCGCATGGCCTTTTGCCCTAATGCAGACATGTTGCTGGAAAACTACAAAGGTACTGTAATTTACAGTAGTTCGCGCACTAGCACTTAGCAAGGACTTTGCTCTGGACACCGGGCGCCCAGAGAGCCCGGTGCTTAGTAGTAGTAGTAGTAGTAGTAGTAGTCGAGTCGTCGTCGTCGTCGTCGTCGGCGTCGTAGCAGTACGAGTAGTGAGTGAGGGTTTGTAACTGATGTTGTCGCTCACTTCACCGAGCTAGTTGACGTAGATGTCGCTGCCTAGTAGCTGCTTAGTAGCTTGGCCTGTAGATGGGGTAGACGTTGGTTCCACTTTTAGCCTAGCGGGTTCACTTTCCGGGCTGTTTTTATGTCTTGTTGCCTGCCCCTC